TCCCATGAAAGACCATGACCTGAGCCAAAATCAAAAGTCGGACACCCAGTCAACTGGACCACCCACCCAGGCACCATAAGAGCTCATCTTACAGAAAGTTCTCAGAATGGGGGCACCTGGGTGGCCAGTCAGTTAAGACTCTGACTCTTGATTTCAGCTTAGGTCACGATCTCACGGTTGGTGAGATGGAGCCCTGCATACATCTCTGTGCTGACAGTGCGGAACCTGCTGGGGATTCTCTCTCTCTCTCTCTCTCTCTGCCCCTCCCCTGCACTTGCATGTGTGTGCGTGTGTACATTTTTTTCCTCTCTAAATAAATAAATAAACTTAAAAAAAAAAAAGTTCCAGGATGGATTCTGATTGGCCCAGATTGAGTCGAGTGACAATTCCTTCATCCATCCCTGTGTCCGGGAGTGCACTCGCCTGGGCCTTGTGCCCATCCCCGTGGTGGAGATTGAGGTGTTGGTGGGGCAGGAGGACAGTGATTAACAGCTCAGCCAGGAGATAGGAGTGGGAAGGAAATCCCCAAGGCAAGCAGAAACTACCCTGCCACCCACTTTGGTCCATCTCAGCTCCAAGTAATGTGTTAGCCAAGTACATGTGTGTGGGAGGGGGAAGGGGGACGAGTGAGGTCATGACAGCTCATTGCTCATGCATTCATTAGCCATTGATCTTAAAGCCTACCTTCACACAGGCACTGTTCTGGGCTTTGGAGTCCAGCACTAAACAAAACAGATGGCCCCTGCCCTTGTGAAGCTTCTATTCTTGTGGGGAGAAGCCATCAAGAAGATAAAATAAACAGAATACACACGTAGAGGGGCGCCTGGGTGGCGCAGTCGGTTAAGCGTCCGACTTCAGCCAGGTCACGATCTCGCGGTCCGTGAGTTTGAGCCCCGCGTCGGGCTCTGGGCTGATGGCTCAGAGCCTGGAGCCTGTTTCCGATTCTGTGTCTCCCTCTCTCTCTGCCCCTCCCCCGTTCATGCTCTGTCTCTCTCTGTCCCAAAAATAAATAAAACGTTGAAAAAAAAATTAAAAAAAAAAAATACACACGTAGAACACCAGATGACACTAAGTGCCATAAGGAAATATAGAACAAGGGGGGAGGTTAGGGAGTATGAGCGTGGGGCTGAGGTCACAGGTAGTGGTTGGGGAAGGCTCACCGGAGAAGCAAAGTTTGAGCAGAGCCCTGCAGAAGGGTGAAGGAGGGAGCCACGCAGAGACCTGGAAGAGCCTTCCAGAAGGAACGGAAGGGCTGAGGGGAAGGGTGCCGGCAGGCTCAAAGAACATGAGGCTAGTGTGACCAGAACAGAGTCCGGGAGGCAGCAACGGCAGAACCCGAGTCCGGTGTTAACTGGGCCCCCACTCACGGAGCGTCCTGGGCCACTGTGCCTGGGGGGAGAGTGAAAGCCACTGGAGGTCACAGGATGCGTCAAGGAATCCCATTTGTTCTCTGTGTTTTTCTCCCCTGTTGATTATACTTGAGACAGGGACAATATTTAGGTATTCATTCCTTTGCTCATTCATTCGTTCCTTTATTCAGCAGACATCCACTCAGTACCTACCACGTGCCAGGTGCTGGGAGCCCAAAGGCGGGGAGCTCACCATCTAGTGGAAAGGAAAGACAAGGAAAGCACGGACATCAGTGTCACGTGATGCAGGAATTGCACAAACAGCTCCAAGTGCCTTAGTCCCCTCCAGAAAGGGCAGCAGTACGCCTCCCATCCAGAGGCTCCAACTGGCTCCAAGCCCAGGATCTTGGGTCTCTCGGGCTGGTCCAGATATAGCTCCTCATAGTCCTGAAGCCTAGAGCCAAAGGATGCATTTACCCCTCGCCAACGTGCTTAGTAAGCAGTGTGGGTGGGAAAACAGGAGAACAGCTGCACACTTCCCCTTTAGAAGAGGGGAGAAGGGGAATAGCGTTCACTGGTCACCAATCCATGATGCATGCGCCATCTCTGGACTGTTCCAGCTAGGCTTGGGATGGGATGAAGTTCCTTGGCCCATGCTCCAGCTACCCATGATCTGATTGAGGGTGGGGATATCTCTTCATGATCTTCCATGGCCATGTCTGGCATGGGGTGGGGAGCAAGGAGGGGTGATCTGGACTCCTAGATTTCTTTTCTGGGGTCCATACTGCTTTTTGTTGATTTCTATCTTCCCAGCCTCTTCCACAGTGTCTGCACGTACTAGACTTTCAGGAAATATTTGTTGATTTAGCACTAGCGGTATGCCCATAGGACACCGCTGTGGATGCGCAGGGCAGGGGTCTCAGTCAGGCTGTGGAGCATCCAGGGGAGGGGCACATTGGGGATGACCCCTGGATGTGTTGCCTGGAGGACCAGGGGGTTCGCCTTGCCCCCTCTGCAAAAGGCAACGCAGGAGAAGCAGCAGCTTTGGTGATCAGTGAGGAATTTGTTTTGAGGTGTTGGGTTAGAGGTACCCATGGGACATTCAAAGGTCTGCAAGTCTCAAGATCAAAGAACAGGGCCACAGGAAATGAGCTGTGGGTGTGGGCGTGTAAACGGGGGGTTAGATACCAGGTAGAAGAGTTCTGGGTGGTGCCTGCCGGGTAAGGCCAGGGAGGCGCTGGATAGAGCAAATTAAAGCCCCGCAGAGGTCACGTCCTCCCCTTCCTCAGTGTCTCCTCCACTTCGGCTGACTCAGAGCCAACTAATGTTTCAGCTCCCAGCCCCAGTGATGCTGGGTCAACGTGAAAGCAGAGCTAAGACCTCTGGGAGGGAGCAGGAACTGTGTTTCCACGGCACCCCTCTTCACAAGGTGGCTCACAAGTGAAGGGTCTAACCATGGAGGACAGTTGGAGCAGCAGAGGCTATGGATCTGCTGAGGGAGCAGCAGGCATTTCTGGACATCTTTGAGGGTGTCTAGCTTAGTTTTGAGGCCCTGAAGGGACTAAGCCCTTTAAGGCAGGAAGGCAGCTGGCTGGGGATGGGGGAAGCACCTCTTCCTTCTGGCACACGGGAGTGCTCAGTGGCGCTCTGCTCAATGAATGGGTGGCTGGATGAAGGAGTGAGTGAATTCAAGCATTCTTAAATGAATGAATGATCAGATGGGCCTTGGAACTTGCAGAGGGGTGTCCCAGTGCCTGGTAGATGGGCCACTCTTAATCAATGTTTATTGGGCGATGGGTGAGTGTGGGATGAGGGCTCAGAGGTTTCCTGAGCCCGCAGAGTGGCCAGAAGTCCTAAATAAATAAACACGGTTATTTCCCACAGTTGACTTGCAGGATAATAAAGCGGCATCCTCTCCCTTCGGGAGCTTTCTGCACTTCTTCTTTTATTTTGCCTCAGCCATCAACTGGAGGCTGCTTGCCATTTTTCTGACCTGTGCTGGGAGGGATGCGGGGGACGAGTGGGGGGGAGGCAGAGTTAGCACCCCACCTTCTCCCAGGTGGGAAGGACCCAGAGCACCTCTTCTATTCACTCTCAAAGTTGCACATCCTTCTAGCAATCCAAGACTCAAGTCAGAACAGTCTCCCCTGCCCTCTCCCTCCCTCCTTCCGTCTTTCCTGAAATGGATTTCCAGTCCAGGGGGGCTGTGCCACATCTGTCCAGTCCCTGGCATGGCGCCAACTCCGAATACCGCAGTGGCGCAGCTGTGGTCACCATCCTGAGCATGTGTGCGTAGCGTGGGGCTGGGCCCAGTGGACACGAGGAAACCTCCCTCACTGGCTCTGCCCTTAGGGGGCTCAGGGACTGGCTCCCAGGACAGGATGCAGCTGGAGGCTGGAACCCTACAGGGCGGCAGCTTTGATGGAGATACTCCTGGAGCCTTCTGCACTCCTGTGTCATGAGGCTGGGGGCTAGGCTCCCAGGGGGACACGGAGGCCCCGGGCCACTGTGGATGTGCTCCAGAATCACCCAACACCTCGCTCTCCTCTTCCCCAGGTCCGGCCGCCTTCCGGGGACCATCCCTCTAGAGCTAGACCTGTGACGGGGTCCTCATGCAGAGGGTCTATGTATGGGCGATCCTCACCCAGCTTCCTGCTGCCTCTGGGGGCCCACAGCTCCCACCCAGGCTGCCGGTCAGGCAGAAGGGTTGTAGTTGGGATGCCTCATGGTTGGTGATATTTCAAAGCACGCTGGGAAACATCCGGCCAGCAGCTTGGTTCAAATAATGAGATGTCAGGATCCATCTATCTATCCATTCATCTCAGATGTGTCCTTCCCCCAGGTCTTTCGTGGGGGGACTTTGGGACCACAGAGTGGGGTGTGGCTAAGAGGAGAGAGGCTGGGCCATGGCATCTGTCATCCATCACTCCCCAGCCCTTAGCACCTGTGAGCCAGCAGCTCTGACACAGGGCTACTCCAGCAGCACCGCACAAGTCCCCGAGAGTATGCATCATTGTCTGCGTTTGCCTTTTAGCAGCTCTGGCACGAGCCTGGAGGGGCCTGCTTGTCCTCACGGGTAGTTCTCTGTGCAGCAGTTTGTCCGAGCTCTGGGCGTTTCACCGATTAGGCACTTCCTACATGCCGAGCCGGTGTCAGGCCCAAGTTCATCCATAGGAGGCCGCAGGCTGCTTGACAACCTCCAGCTTGTTTGGTGGTCCCCTCAGGACCCCTCATCTTAGGAGTCGCCTTCTCCAAATCCCCCAAAGAGCACTGGTCCAGAGAATGACCTTCAGGGTCAGAACAACCAGTTTGAATCCAGAACCTGTGATTTACTAACACTGACCTTGGGTTTAGAAAAAAAAAATAGATTTCTTTTTCTTCCTAGAGCAGTTGTAGGTACACAAAATTGAGCAAAAAGTACAGAGAGTTCCCGTATGCTCCCTGTATACATGAGGGTACCGTTTTTTAACTTCTTGAGCCTCAGTTTCCTTATCTGTACAATGGGGGAAATAACCATCTCCTGCTCACAGAGTTGGGATAAGGCACAAATGAGGCAACGCAGTTAGCTCCTGCCTAGTAGTAAGTACTTTGCACACAGTGGCTGCTTTTTACTCCTGCCCGGGACCTCTCTGATGCTGACCTTTGTCTCAGGTGACAGGAACACCCTCCAGAGGCTTTGATGAGAAGGCGTACCTGGCAGCCAAACAGCTGAAGGCTGGAGAGGACCCTTACAGGCAGCATGCCTTCAACCAGCTAGAGAGTGACAAACTGAGCCCCGACCGGCCCATCCGGGACACCCGCCATTACAGGTAAGGCCTCCATTGTGCCAATGGAGAAAGAAAGGTGGAGGGAAGGGCTAACACCACTTAGCTTGCTTCCTTTTGGTCACGTGGATTTGAGAAATGAGAAAGATTTTGGGCGCCTGGGTGGTTCAGTCAGTTAAGTGCCCCACTTCAGCTCAGGTCATGATCTCATGGCTCATGAGTTCAAGCCCCACATCAGGCTCTGTGCTGACAGCTCAGAGCCTGGAGCCTGCTTCAGATTCTGTGTCTCCTCTCTCTCCCCCTCCCCCACTCGCACTCTGTGTCTCTCTTTCGCAAAAATAAATACGCATTTAAAAAAAAAAAAAAAAGGAATGTGAAAGATTCCCTCAGACACTCAGGAGACTCAGAAACCCAGTCTAGTTACTGAGACACTCAAACCCTCAGGGAGGACTGAGGGGGTGGCCGAGCCTGCTGGTGGTGCCTGAGGTGGAGAGGTGCCACCAACCGTGCCCACACTGTGCAAACAGTGCAGTTCTGTGCACTGCCCCATCGACAGCCCTTCCCTTCTCCTCTGCCCGCCCTGCTGCCTCGGCTTCCACAGCAGTGGAAGCATTTCCCAGAAAAGCTTCCCAGCCTTGCTCTTGGTTCTGCCAGTATGGTAGGCGGGAGAGGCCCCAGAGCAGACCAAGGACGCCTTCCATGATGATTCTCGCTCTGATTCCACCCGGTGTGAGTGACCGACCTTGGGGAAGTCATCAAGCCCCCCTCCTTGGTTCAGGTCCTTGACGTGTCCTGTCCAGATTATAGTCACCACCTCCAGCGCCCTCTTCCTGCCCTCACCTATGGGAACAGTCTGAGCCCCTCCGCCCGAAGTGCAAGCCACCCCTGCTGACCCCGAGCCTCTGCTCCTTTTCCCCCTAGCACTTAAGGCCCCTGCAGTCTGATACCCTCCTGCCCCTCTCCCTGTCTATGCACACTCTGTTTCCTCCACCGGAACCCCCGCCCCCACCACCTGCACCTTCACGACACCCCTCAGTGTCCTCTCCTCCGGGCAAGGCTCCTTGCCGACCCAGGCTGGTTTGGGGGCTTCCTCTGTACTCCGTGCAGACAGGTCAGCAAGGGCCTGGTGGAGCTGACCACTCACGGGCCTGCAGTTTTAAGTGACCATCATGGGCTGGGCTGGACCTAGCTGTGTACCTAGGGCCGGGCTGGTCCTGATTTGAGGGTAGGTGAGGATGACGCGGACCAACGTTGCTTTTCCTTCTGAAGCGGCTGCTCCACAGCACAAAAGGTGTATGAAGTAAGGGTGCAGAAGGGGACAGGCTTCTAGCACCTTCCTTGTCGGTCATGGAGATGCGCCTGAAATCCAGTGGGCTTGCAGCCTGTCAGAGTGAGATGGATGTTGAGTTGGGGGGCGGGACCCAAACTGTCCTCCCTGTCCTGGAATCCCAGTGCTGCCAGCCTCCAGAAACTCACGCTGCCAAATAGGACAATAATCCTGCTACTTGGGGAGACCCCCACCCAGGTCCAGGGGCCAGCTCAGGTCTCAGAAGCTCTTTCTTGGTCCTGGTGCAGAGTCTACCTGCACTGTGGGGTCTACGAGGCCATGTCCACACGGCTCCACTTGGAGACCTTCCTTGGCAGCCCTGGCCGTGGCCAAGGCCTAGAGGTTCTGCAGACCCGAATCTCTGAACTGACCCAGGGTTAGCCTGGATCACCTCTGTCCTCCCTCCCACCAAGCCCCCAACCCCCACCTTCTCAGGTGTTCACGGAAGAACTTAAAGGAGGAGTTCCTCTTGGGACGACGCGTGTTTTAAAATGAGACTCTTCAAATCCAAGGCAGGGGTGGGTTGGTGAGGTCAGCCTCCCCTCCTGCCCCAGGGCTGCTGCCCGCCCTCCCAGAAGCCCAAGGTGGATTGGGTGTGTGTGCATATGAGCGCACGTGTGTGTAGGGGGAGCAGCCAAGGTGCTGGCTTTCGCACACTGGGGTGAGCCAAGCTCTTCTCCTGGCCCTCCAG